CCCCCCCCCCCCCCCCCCCCGCCTGAGACCAGGGAGGAGAGCAGGAGGGTGCCCCGGAGGCGACAGTGCCGGAGGAGGGCGCAGAGGGAGGGTGAGAGGGGCGGGCAGCTGTGTGACCTCTGGCTCAGGGAGGGCAGAGAAGGGGAGGAGAAGCCAGGCCCTGGCAGGGGGCGGGAGGGTGACAGTTCCATGCTTTTCCTTGATGAGAGGAGGGTCAGGGAGAAAAGGGGAGCACGTGCTCAACAGCCCTGAGCAGGTCACAGACTGGACAGAAAGCAGCGGCTGAGGTACAGAAAGGTGAGCTGGGTGGTGGGTAGGAATCTGTAGCCCCAACCGCCCAGCCTAGGGCTCCTGCTTCCAGAAGGCACCAGAGCTGAGGAGAAGGGCCCAAACCTACTGCAGCTGGGGCATGGGGCTTCTCTGAGGAAAGGGAGGCCCCAAGAGGGTGGGGACAGGGCAGAACCACCGGAGGAGGAGCCAGGTGGCAGAAGGAAGAGAGCAGGAGGCTCGTGGCAAGCCCGGTGGCCTGGGCAGGGCTGGTGCTGGCTCCAGCCCTCTCACCTGAGCGTCTCCACTCGGTCTTTGCTTTCAGGTTCATTCAGGTTCCTCAAAAAACAGAGCGAGGGAGAGTTTAGTGCTGGGACCTCTCGCTCCGTCCACCGCCGCAGACCCAGGTGAGGGTGGGTCTGGTGAGGTGCCACTGGTGGATGAGCAGGACCCAAGCTCTAAGGCCCCATGCCTGTGCCACCTGGCAGGCCAACATGGCTCTGCGGCGCCTCACATTGGCCCTTTGCAGCGGGGAGCCCAGCACACGGGGCCGTCCCTCGCCAAGCTCCCAGAGATGTGTGCAGGGGAGAAGGAGCCTCTGCTCGGGGGTGGCGGGGTGGGGTGGGTGGGTGTGGATGTGCAGGCACGCGCATCGAGCACACAGCCACAGCATGAGGCAGCTCCCCCACCAGCCCCCAGCCAGGGCCTCACACTGTGAACGGGTCTTCCACACCAGAATCCCGGGGCCCCAGAGCCACAGTCCTCCTGAAGGGAAAGGGCTAGGCTGGGGGGCGCGGTGTGTGTGTGTGGGGGGGCGGGTCAGACAGAAGTCTCTCTCAGGAGGCTCAAAGGGCCAAGAGCTGGAACCGTGAGCAGGCCTGGGGATGAGTGCCTGGAGATGGGGAGGGGGAGAAGGGGCCTGAGGCCATCCATGGACAAGCCCGCCTCCCTCATTCTTTTAGAACGCCCCTGCCTGCCAGGCTGCCAGGCCATCTGCTTGTACAGAAGGGAGGACAGAGGGCAGGGCAGGGCCAGCACCTTGGGAGGGTGGGTGGGGAAGAGGTCTGGCCCCGCTGAGCGGCTTCTCCAGCTCCTGGCCGGAAGATGGGTGCCTGGAGCCGGGGAACTGGGGACTGCAGAGGAGGGCAGGGACGTGAGGAGGACAGAGAGCGGCAGCAGCACATGGAAAGGAACACGAAGACACAAGAGACACACGAGCGCACACAAGCGCACTGCGAGCAGGGAGCCCGGGCTGTGCGGCGGGGGGGGGGGGGGGGGGGGGGGGGGGGGGGGGGGGGGCCCTGCTGCTCTCCCCAGCCCCACCTGGTCCCTGCCCTGTGGGTGGAGGCGCCCTGTCGGGCAGGCCCCCACCAGGGCCTGGGAGTCAAGAGCCAGCCATACAGTGAAGAGCTGGGTGGGGAGCAGTGGGTGGAAAGGGGAAAGCCTAAGGACCCTGGCTTGGCCATTAGGTGGGTCACCAACGCGCCCGCCAGGTGTCCCAGCCCCAGCACAGGGCCTGGGCTGACAGCCCTGGGGAACCGGTGCTCCCAACCCGGCCCTTGGTCTTCAGCTTGGTATATGGCCCTCACAGGCTTCCAGAGAGAATGAGGATAGGGCAGGGGTGGGTCTGGCCCAGGAAGGAAGATGCCTGAGTGTGTGTGTGTGTGCGCGGGGGGGGATCTT